GGAAAGAGAAATCTGACGGGAGGTGCCCTCTACACCACAGGCCAGGCCCTTCAGAAGAAGACGGAGTGGGGAAGGGGCAAACAGAACCAGAGGGAGCTTGACTGAGTTGCAAAAACTGTTGTGATTTTGTTTTCCTTCCTCTTCTGAGCACTAGAGAACAAAGAGGAGGGGAGGGAGGAAGAAGCTGATACCAATAGACTCCAGTACGGAACCACACCTCCTTAGTGTAAAGTTTAAAGACATTAAGTGTCTCTCAGGTCATTATCAGCCCTTAGATTTATAGAGCATTTTACAAAAACTTCCATGTCTGGCTTTAATTAAGCCTTATTATAATCTTATAAGGTGTGATTGTTCTCATTTATAGATGGAAAAAATGAAAGTTCAGAAGGGCTTAGCATTTATCTAAGCCTAGACTCAACCCCCATCTGTCCCTTTCAGTGATAGCTTTTAAATAGATGCCACTTTCAGGCAGATATTGTTTTCTTTCTCTTTTTTTGAAGAGAGATTTTTTTGCTATAGGGCAGGTGCACTTGCTGGAGAGACATAGTGAAAGAAAGTGAGAAATCACCTCCTAGAGGAGATGGCCACACCACAATCCCTTCTCCTCCATTCTACTCTCAGATTTTGGGCACACATGCACACACGCCCAGTGCAAGTTTCAAACATCCAGGTCCAGGACTCAAACCACAGTCGACCATGTGGGAGTCCAATGCCTCAACCACTATGCCACCTGCTGGTCCCCCATCTCGAAAAATTTGCCTATTTTGGACATTTCATATCATCGGTATCATATGAAATGTGGTCTTTTATGACTGGGTTCTTTTATTCAGTATAATGTTTTTGAGGTTCACCAGTGTTATAGCAGGTATCAGTACTTCTTTCCTTTCTAATGGTCAAGTAATATTCTGTTGTGTGAATGTAGCACATTTTGTTTATCCATTCATCAGTTGATGAATATTTGGGTTGTTTCTACTTTGGGCTATTATAAATAGTGCCTCTGGGACAGCAGATGGCATAATGGTTACATCACTGGGCTCCCACATGGCCAACCACAGTTCAAGTCCCAGACCCGATAGCTTGAAACTCAGGCCAGGTGCGTGTGTGTGACTGCCCCAAACCCTTAGGAGAAGAGAACTGAAAAGAAGGAATAGTGGGTGGCCATCCTCCCTTTGTGTGTGTGTGGGGGGGGGCAGGGCGTGATTCTCGCTTTCTGTCTTTCCATCTCTCTGACAAGCGCATGCACCCTATAGCAAAAATCTCTCTTAAAAAAAAATAGTGCCTCTATGAATATTTGTATATGTGAGGGCCTCTGTGTTCAGTTCTCTTGGAAATGTCCCTGGGAGCGGAATTGCTGGATCGTATGGTGGTCGAGCACATGATTTTATCTGATCCTTACTAAACCCCATGAAGCAGATGAGAATTAGTGGTTTATTTAGAGTGGGCATTTCTGAATCAGGAAACGGATCCTGAATCTTTGTGAAATTGAAAGACCGAATGGCTAATAAGTAGGTGGATGCAGATTGTCTAACTAACGCTGTTTCCATAATGATGTACTCTGGGAAGGTCCTGTCCTGGTCCCTGCCCCTCATCCTCCTTACTCTGTTCATCTCAGAAACCCAGGTGGGGCCCAGTGACCAGGGTAAGACAGTGTGGCAGGTAGGAGAGTGTGAGCGGGGAGGGACCTTGCTCACCTTGATGCTCTCATTGATTCGATTCACTATCCAGTTGAAGAGGCGGCTGTAGATGTTCTTAGCCAGAGCGTCCCGAGCATACTGAGCCTGTAGGGTGGGGCCAAGCCAGTCACTGAAGCAGGCACAGAACAGACTCAAAACCAGCCCTGCCCCGTAGGGCCTCTTACCTGGATGACATTCAGGGCTGTGACCACCTTTTCTTTGGCTGTTTCCATCGTCCTGGAGCACAGAGCTCTCTCCAGTTCCTGTGAGTTCAAACCCATCATCTCCCCAATCTCCTGAACACCTGGAGTGATGAGGAAGTACAACACGGCCTGAGAGAAGGCTTTCTCTCACAGAGGGAGGGAGAGCCGATAAGAACCCAGGGGAAGTCTTCACTGCCAACCCAGAGCACGGCCCTGGTAGGGCACAGGGTGAGGGGAGGCAGGAGAAGGGGGCGCGGGCACTTGGTGTGCATTATCTACTTTACTATGAGAACCTTCTGAAATTTAGATGTGATTATCCCCATTTTGCAGAAGAATCAATCAAGACTCAGAGAAGTCAGAGGCCTCGTTCTATCAAGCTTCCAAACATCATGTGTCTCTGGGAGGCCTCAATGAGTCTGTTCGGGGAGGATTTGGGAGTGGGCTGAGTGAACAGCATCAGGGTAAAGTTGGTTACACTGGAGACAGTGGAGGGACAGGACTTGCAGTCGAAGACTTAGGAGGGGTGGAGGGGGCTCTAGCAGGGTGGTGCGGACCTCTCCCATCACGGATGCCACTTGCTGGTATCCCACTGGCCTGGCCCTCGTCCACCAGCTCCACGTTCCCCAGCTTCAGCACCAAGGCTGTCACCTCCAGCACTTGTCGGATCTCCTCATCTGAGAACCCGATCACTATCATTGCACTCTTAGGAAAAAGCAGAAACCAGAAGCTGAGCTGGTGGTACCAGTCCAGTGCCTCCCTTCTCAGAACCAGGGCCTGAGCTCAGGGGAGAGGTGACCAAGGGTCCACGCCTACCCCACCCTGGGCACCCACCTGTACAGCCCTGAAGTTGGAAGCATCGTCCATGCCATCTACTTTGGGCATTTCCTGGTTCAGATAGGCGTAGGCACTTGTGTCTTGCTGAAGTTTCAGGGCCTCTGGAAGGGGCCGTGTGGGACAAGACAGTTAGTGCCCAGACTCTCTGGAGCCCTCCAGCCTTGACATCTAGGAGCCCTAGGTGGGTTCACTCATTTGTTTGAAGGACCAAATAAATGACAAGTTCTTCCCCTGCCTCCTTCATTCTGGGATCACTAATTCCTATAATGATAGACTACATATTTTACTCCTCTTTTCTCTTTTGATGACACACCACGTGCACAAGCACATGAGAATCAGAGAGGGAGAGAGAGAGAACCACCCCCCACATGCACAGAGTCCAGCCACACCAAGATCCCCTTTCTCTTACTCCGGGGCACTGGCACACCTCCCCTGTGCCTGTCATGCCTCAGGCTGACCGAGCCAGGGTCCTGGACTATGGCTGCCACGTGGAACCCAGGCTCTCGTGAGCAGTGCGTCACTGTCACATCAAGGAGCCGGCCCAATGGAGTAAATGGCTAAGTGATATTTAGGGTTTCAATAGTTGTACATGTTGGATCCCCTCCAACTTTTTATTTTCATTGCTCAAGGATATTTGCTCATCAGAGAGAGACAGAGACAAAGAGAAAACCACTCTTAATGGGGCATAGTCATGCTACAATCCCTTCTCCTCCATTTCTCATTCCTATCAGGATTTTGGGCACAAACTCACACGTGCCTGGTATGTTTTTCAAGCCACCAGGGCACAGACTCGAACCACAGTTGGCTGTATGGGATCTGCCTCCCTTAAATGTGTTACAGTGTTAACCTTTCCCCAGACTTTTATGAAAGAAAAGCCTTTTTTCGCTGTTCTCCCCAACCTCAAGAATCCGAAGGAGGGAACCAGCAGTTAGCGTAATGGCTATGTCACTGGACTCCCACGTAGTTGACCGCGGTTCGTGTCCCGGACCCGGTGGCTTAAAACTCACGCTGGGCGCGTGTGCGTGCGTGCCCAAGAACCCGAGAGGAGAATGGAAGAGAAGGGATTGCAGCGTGACCATCCCCCCTGGGGGGTGATTTCTCGCTTTCTGTCTCTAATGTCTCTCTCTGTCTGTCTGGCAAGTGCACGCGCCCTATAGTGAAAATCTCTCCAAAAAAAAAAAAAAAGAATCCGAAGGAAAAAAATAATAAATAAGCAAACCCTTCATCTTGCTCAGGTCTCAGTGCCTCTACGATAGTAGCCCTACCTACCTCATGGAAGACAACTCATCCACGGACGGGGGTGAGGTGTGTGTGGGAGCTGGCCTCTGGATGGCCCAAGGGTACCACACCCACTGTGCACCCCATTTCCACCTCTACTGTGTTGCAATATACGATGAAATCATCACACGATAGGGTTTGTGCTCCCATGAGAATCCAATCCTACCATGCATCTGACAGGTGGCAGTGCCTAGGCAGCAGTTCAAGCAATGGAGAGCAGGTGCAAACACAGACAAAGCCTGGCCTGCTCCCCCCACTCGCCCTCAGCCGCATGGCCCCCAACAGGCCACACAACGGCCCTTGTCGGCAGCCTGAGGGTTGGGGAACACTGCTTTAAGAGGACGAAGGTGAGGGAAGAAGGGTAAGCACTTATCTCCCACCCACCTCAGCCTCAATACTAACCCCCCCTTGGCCTGGGTTGGCTCATTCATTATTTGCTCATCAAACACCAACAAATGCAGGTATTATGAAGGGGCTTCAAAAACTTAGTAGAAGGGGCCAGGTAGCATGGTGATGAAGGTGCTGGACTCCCACATGGCCATCTACAGTTTGAGGCCCAGACATGATGGCTTACTTTCTCGCTTTGTCTCTCTCTCTCTCTGTCAAGTGCATGTGCCCTATAGAACATTTTTAAAATTATAATAATAATTTAAAAATTAAATAATTTTTTAAGTTTATGGAAAAGTGAAATTAAAGTAGGAATTCAATGGGAACTGGCAATTAGCATGGTGGTTAAGGCACTGCACTGAACTCCCACAGGATTGACCATGGTTTGAGTGCCAAACCTGGCAGCTTCTCACTTTCCCCCCCTCTCTCTGCCTCTGTCTCTCACTGGTCAAATAAAAACATTATAATAACAAATAAAATTAAATAAAAAATTAATTTAAAAAGGAGTCTATTTTACTGCAAAAACTTGAAACCCAGGCGTAGTTTGTTTTTTTGTTGTTGTTTGTTTTTTTATAATACCTATTTTTAGTGAACTTTCATTCCCTGCCCTCACTTCTGGAAGATTTTCTCTGATGCTGAGGGGCTGAGTCAAGTGGTTGCCAGTGTTCCCCCATCCCCCATAGTGAATCTCCATCCCAGACCATATCACAAGGGCCTGGTTTTGGTTATTTCTCTTTTTTTTTAGAATGTGTATGGTGGGACCATGTTCCTTATCTCTGTATTCTGTGAATCTAGCTGGCATGTAGGAACTCTTTTCTTTGTCATAAATGAATCAAGGAAATGGTCAGAGCTGTTTACATAATCTGGGAAGGATTGGATTAATCATGGAGCTTGAGGGATGACAATCATCTGTTATGCAAATAATCTGACTATCAGGGAGTGTCCCTCAAACTAGAGTTTGAAAGCCCCTTCCCTAGCACACAGACTTTTTTTTTCAGAGAGAGGTGTTTGCTATAGGATACATGTGCTTGCCAGAGAGACAGAAAGCGAGAAATCACCCCAGGGGGCATGGCCATGCCACAATCCCTTCTCTTCCATTCTCCTTTCAGGATTCTGGGCATGCACGCACACATGCCCAACATGAGTTTCAAGCTACCAGGTCCAGAACTTGAACAACAGTCGACCATGTGGGAGTCCAACGATGTAACCATTACACCATCTGCTGGTCTCAACACACAGATTTTGAAATAGCAGCCTGCCGAGGAGAGGCAGCTAGAGGGAGAATGAGTTGAAAAACCCAGGGACAATGAGACCCAGGAGGCTCCACTCAGACTCAGCTTAAACCAACAGGTGACAGAACTACCCAGAACAAGACACTAGTGTCTACAAATCAGACAGATTGAACAAGATCAAGATTATTAATCCAGGAAAGAAGAGGTATCCGGGGGGTTCTTGAACCATAGAGATCTCCAGGAAAGGAAAAGTAGATAGGCATAGATCCAACATAAAATACCCAGAAACCGAAGGGACACACTCTTAAGGACCAGACACCTACAGTGGCTTGCAGCTAAATGGGAGATTGGAAGGCAAAGTCTGGCAGGGCCTGGAGCCCTACCAGCTCCCACAATGATGTTCACCTAGAGCCACACAGGCCAGGCTGACATCCAGGCTGGGATGGGCTCTTCCCCAGGACAAGACAGGGGCCCCATGCCTTCTGCTCCAATAGCCACCTGCACAGGCCTAATGGCACCAATCACACTGTATTGTGACACATCTGTTCATACCTCTGTATCCCTAGAACACTAAGTTCTTCAAGAATAGCTCTATGTCTTAGTCGACTCTGGATCCCTAGTATAATGTTTAATCATGGAAGGTATTCAAGAGATGTTTGATAAGTGAATGAATGGATGAAACCCTCATGGAGCTATCCAAGAAGTGAAAATTAGGAACAGAGCCTTAGGTGAGGCAGATGCAGACCCAGGACAGCTTCAACGAGACTCCATTGAAAGTTCTTGAGCACTTAGACTCCTGCCTGCCTCCCTGCTGAGCTATCACTAAAGCAGGTGACAGAGCTACATGGAAGGGAGGAGGGGAGGTATATGAAGATGGGTGTCCCATGTTTCAAGTCAGCTTGGAGAAAGAGGAACCCAGACAGGAGAGAGGATTGAAAGCAATGAAGAGGTAATCCACAATACAAGTCCAGAAAAGGAAGACGAGGATCAAGGGACTTGTTCCCAAAAATGGGTAATGAGGTTCAAGGTGAGGAATGGAGGCAAGAAGTCTCAGTGCCCAAGGGAAAGGGCCTGCAGGAGGCCAGGAGAGGCTAGGGGTTCACAGGGGCCGTGAAGGTTGGGGTACTTTGCCATGTGACTGGGGCAGACACGTACTCAGCAGCTGTGCATCTGCTCCAGCCAGTAGCTGATAGAAAATGTGGAAGTTCCTTTCTCCTTTGAGCTGCTTCACCACTCGGGACTTCTCCAGCAGATCTGACAGAGGGTTAGAAAATAACGTGCTAAGGCACTGGGAGGTACCACAGCTTCCCTAACTCTGCCCTCGTCCCTGGTGCTCCTCTGGGTGGGAAGTCTCCTGGAAGTCTAAGATTCTTTCCACAGGAGCAGATTTGCAGAAAGGGAAGCTGCAGGGGAGGTGGAAGGGGGAGGTGCTGAGTGGTATGGGGAGACACATACAGTTCGTGATGACGCCGCCGAGGGGGGATCCCTTGAAGTCAAACTCAATATCCATGTATTTTCCCTGCAGAGAAAGACCAGAGAGAGGCTTGGCTTCCTCCTCTTCTCACCACCGTTGGGGAGGGGTCAAACTGCATTTCTCCCTCTCAAGCCCTTACCCTTACCCCCCATGCCAGGGAGAGATGCACTCACAAAGCGAGAGGAGTTGTTGTTGCGAATGGTCTTGGCATTGCCAAAAGCTGCAGAAATGAGGAGAGGAGACATGAGGTGGCCAAGCGGGGAAGCAGGGCTCTACAGGGAGCAGCGAGGGAGGTCTTCCAATCTCGTGCCCATCTCAGACGGTTCAGGCTGAGGGAGCACTGGGGAAGAGGTGCGGGAGGGCAGGGAAGGACTCTCACCCTCCAGCACCGGGTTTGACTGAAGCAGTTGCTCCTTCACAGAGTTCACCTGGTCCCCTTTCCCACAGACAGCCGCCACGTAAGACATCACCAGTTTGCTAGCCTCTGTGGGCGAGAAACACGTGATCCCACCCAGGGCTGGCCCAACACCCCACCGCCCTCCTTTACTTCCCTCGCCCAGCACCTCACACCCCTGAGTCAGAAAAGCGGGGCAGGAATGTCTGTGGGGCTGGAGGACAGGACGAGGCCGGGCTTGGTTCCAGAAGCGACTCCCCGAGTCCCCCGCCTGCTGCCTCACCGGTCTTCCCAGCTCCACTCTCGCCCGTGATGAGGATGCACTGGTCTCGGTCCCGGTCCCGCAGTGACTGGTAGGCCACATTTGCCAATGCAAAGCTTGAGGGGAAGAAGTGGGCAGGGGCTAATGCGGAGCCAGTCCCAGGTATCACCTTCACTCAGCTCCTGGCTCCCAGGTTCATCACCCTGACCACTCGAACCAGACTAGGCAAGAAGTGACAGGCCCAAGAAGGGGCCTCCAGAGGGCCAGGGAAGGAAGGGGCAGCCAGAGAGCCCCCTTCGGGGAAAGGATAGAAGGAATTAGGGTGCCTCTTAGTTTAGAAGCTGGGGCCCGTCAGCCTTCCCTTGGGCCCTGCACTCACACGTGGGGCTTCAGCTCATAGAAGGTATAGTCCTGGTATTTGGCGATGAACTCTGGGCCATAGATGGGCAGCTGTTGGTAGGGATTCACGGAGATCACCACATTCCCAATGTAGGTCTGCAGCCAGGAAGACGGTGAAGGGATTGAGCAGGCACGGGGCAGGGGTATGTGCGGTGAACTCACAGCCAGGGACAGTCATAATGCACTCACGTAAATCTCCTTGTTTTCATAGCGAAGCTGAAGATTCTTGATCAGAGACTCCTGATCCAAGGGTTCCAGGAGGACAAGGTCTTCCACCCCCACAGAACCTTCCAGGAGAGGCATATCTGGAGGGGCTACCAGTCCTGGGGACAAGGAAGGCAGTTCGCTGATGTCTGCTCAGTTTTAGGGGTCAGTAACTGTTTGAGGGGAGAAAGGCAGAGAGGCCTAAGATAGTCTTCCTATCCCTTGCTGTCTCCTAGAAAGAACTCACGGGACCAGCAGTTGGCATAATGGCTATGTCGCTGGACTCCCATGTAGTCGACCGCAGTTCAAGTCCCATACCTGGTGGCTTAAACTCGCACCAGGTGCATACGTGTGCATGCCCAAGATCCCGAGAGGAGAATGGAGGAAAAGGGATTGTGGCATGGCCATCCCCTCATGGGATGATTTCTCACTTTCTGTCTCTCTGTCTCTCTCTGTTTTTCTGGCAAGCACACGCGCCTTATAGCAAAAACCTCTCTAAAAAATAAAAAAAAGTAAAAAAAAAAAAAAAGAACTCGCAACCTAGAAGAAGCCTCTGGACTAGTCCGAGTTTCAGGGAGGCTGAAACTCTCAGCAGGAGCTGGGGGAAATCCTCCACTCCCGGGTTAGGGTGAGTGGAGTTGGGGCAGGGGTGGAACTGGACCACTTCCATCTGACCACCCTGAGAATGAAGGCACCCACTGGAGAGAGCAGCCACTGGGCGAGGAGAGTGTGCCTGAAACATAGAGGGCTGGGAGGAACGTGAAGACAAGTCTTGTACCACCGCCAAGGGCAGGAAGCCCTCTCCCTCCTGCACTGCGGCCCATCAGGGTCCAGACTCCCTGGCCATTGCCCCAAATGTTCCTTCTCAAACCACCACCCCTCACAGTTTCTCCTTCAGCATCCCTCTCCTGCACCGGCTTCGCACATTCTTCCCAAGTTCTCCCCTACCCTACCGTTGCTACAGTGAGCCTCATTTTTTAAATGGAGACTGGACAAGGAGATGAGTTAGAGGACAAAGGCAGGAGTTCCTCCATAAAAGACTGGAATACCCACAAGAAAGTGCAAGTGGAATTTGTTTCCCAAAATCAGCCCGTACTTATCAGCAGCCTTAGCTACATGTCTGTCTCTATGTTCCCATCTCTAGCTTTCACTCCATTCCTGTAACCTTCGGGCATGAACTTTGCCCCAAGGGACACACCTAGCTTTTCAGTGGTGTGAGTGAGCAAGGAGGGGCAGAGTTGGAGCTGCAGGGAGGGTTGTGGGGCTGGATCCCCACGCAGCAGGCACATGGCAGGTGCTCCCTGAGGAGGAAGCTCAGTCCCGCTCAGTCTTTCCTGTGAAACTGAGTAGGCGGGGTGACCGGGTACAGGACAGAATTGTTAGTACAATGGTCAATGCCACTCCCAGCCAGGAATGAAAGGGCACATCCTACATTCTCCACATCTCTGAACCAGGGTGGGGGAGAGAAGAGGGGAGGCAGCA